ATTAAAAATTAATTAAAATATATATATATATATATATATATTTTTTTTTTTTTTTTTTTTTTTTTTTTTTTCTGAAAATCGTTAAAAACACAAGAAGCCATTCAAATACTGATCAAGAATTGTCCGGAGAACGAGGATCCACACTTCTACGGCAAATTTGTCGAAAATATTTGTGACATATTTTACGAAAATTGTGACATGTTCGACCTAATACGCCTGCTGCCCGAACTTTTTGACAAATTTATGAGACCGGTGAATGAGCAAAGAGGTTTGAAAGCCAGCACGTCGATACGGATTCATGTACCCCGTATATCTAACATGTCATCATCAAAACCTATTTCCTGAACAGCCACTCGGAACGACATATCCTTTCTATGCAATGAATTGAAGCCGCATTTAGATCCGGCCTTTGATGGATTATACATGCAGGATACGCCGAACAACGCTGGTGAGTCGATGAATTGGATTTTCGTGAAACTGACGGACACCCTTCATCTTTCATCCAACTGGTGATTTTCCTTGCCACACATAGTCAAACCAGAGGAACAGTTACCCAAGTGGTCATTGTATTTGTTAATGGCGGCCTTCTTAGGTTCATATATTTCCCCACAACTGGATCAAAGATATTTTGCGAAATCGACCGATAAACAACGATCCCCTAAAAAGAGAAAGGTGATCAATAATTCCGGAAGGGTAAGTGAGCGTATATACCGGAGGATATAAAATACATTTGTTAATGAATGACCTGCAATTTCATTTCAACAGCTTGCATCGGAGAAGAAAGGACCGCAACCATGTGAAATGGAACGCGTATTGGCCATTTTTAAGAGCATATACGTCGACCGGGTCATTCCAACCTTCGATATTCAGATGCAGGTTTGTCCTTTACGTTCCGTGATCCGAGCATACATAATTTTGATACCATAGATATGCAACATCGTTTTTTCTGCACGCTCAGATGGAATCTTTTGTTACTCATCGCCTTCTGGCTCACACCGTTCCATTGGATCGACTGGAGAGTGTTGCATACCGTTGCAATGTCAGTTTCAATTGTATTACTCAGATCGCAAGAAGTGTCGAATTTGACATAACCAAATATTTCGACGAATGAGATGCACGAAAAGAAATGATAATAACGATGGCAAAAGGAGATACTTGCCCTTCGTGAATGAAATGTTTTGGACGGGCACTAACATGAACTATCCAAGAAGTTGCCGTCTCTCAAATTACAATTGAAACGGCACAAGAAAAAGTAGACGTACAGAATTCACGTCTTGTGTCACGTGATCATGCTCTAAATACATGCTGTCTAAAAAATAGCGTTCAACCAAATTATTTTATATACTGTATATATTTTTTTACAATTGATTATGTCAAATAATGCGTCAATTGGAATTCTACGTGCCATCAATAATGGACACGTGGAACTTTTGTGTTAGGCCATTTCCATCCAATTATTAATTGCCACCAAATACGTGCGCTGGTACCCGCGATTTTCAACCAATAGAATTTTGCCAACAAAGATTGTTGCCATAATTGTGATGCGTTAATATATTTTTTTTCAATTGATATATAAGAACGCCTTGAATCTTTCTGCCTCAAAAATCCTTTTTCAGACCATTGTATTTAATTTTGCATTTTGTTAACTCGCAACCTTCTCTCGCTCACTAGAACTCAATCGTTTGAACTTCATTATCAAAAATAATCTTCCCATAGAAAAAAAAAAAAAAAAATGAAGAAAGTTACTTTCTTCACATTTCTAGCGGTGTTAAGTTCACTGTTGATATCTATCTCGATAGCACACACCGAGGAGAAACCTGAAGTTGGCACAGGTATATTGTTGACCTTGAATTTGTGATTTATGTTAATTGAATAGTAATTCTGTCGAATTTACTGCTTCGATTTATTTTGAAGTCTGTAACTGAATTTCATCTTCCACTTGTTATGGTAGTTATCGGTATCGATTTGGGTACGACCTACTCTTGCGTTGGCGTACACGTAAATGGACGGGTTGAAATCTTGGCCAATGACCAGGGTAATCGTATCACGCCTTCATACGTCGCATTTACTGACGACGAACGTCTGGTGGGAGACGCGGCGAAGAATCAGGCTGCGAATAATCCAGAGAACACTATTTTTGACGCAAAACGATTGATCGGTCGTCGATTCAGTGATAAAGAAGTTCAAAATGATATGAGACATTTCCCATTCAAGGTCGTCGACAAAGACGGTAAACCGATTATTCAGGTCAAGGTGAAGGGTGAGATAAAGACGTTTACTCCCGAAGAAATTTCGGCTATGGTTCTTGGTAAAATGAAAGAGATCGCCGAATCATATTTGGGAAAGAAGGTCACTCATGCCGTAGTAACGGTCCCTGCTTACTTTAATGACGCTCAACGTCAAGCCACGAAAGATGCCGGTACCATTGCTGGCCTCAATGTTCTCCGTATTGTGAATGAACCGACAGCCGCGGCGATCGCATATGGTCTCGATAAATCCGATGGCGAAAGACAAATCCTCGTCTATGATCTCGGTGGTGGTACCTTTGATGTCTCCCTTCTGTCCATCGATGATGGCGTCTTCGAAGTGTTGGCGACTGCCGGCGACACTCACTTGGGTGGTGAAGATTTTGACAATCGTGTTATCGATCACTTCGTCAAACTTTACAAAAAGAAGAATAAGGTCGACATCACCAAAGATCTGAAAGCCATGGGCAAACTCAAGCGTGAGGTTGAGAAGGCTAAGCGCACATTATCATCACAAATGTCAACTCGCATCGAAATCGAATCATTCTATGACGGAAAAGATTTCTCGGAGACATTAACACGTGCCAAATTTGAAGAACTTAACAACGACCTATTCAAGAAGACTCTGAAACCAGTCGAGCAAGTGTTGAAAGATGCAAGTATCGAGAAAAAAGATGTACACGATATTGTTCTTGTTGGTGGTTCCACTCGTATTCCCAAGGTCGTACAACTTCTTGAAGAATTTTTCAATGGTAAGAAAGCATCCAAGAATATTAACCCCGACGAGGCGGTTGCCTATGGTGCCGCAATTCAAGGGGGTATCCTTTCCGGTGATGAACGAGTCAAGGATGTTCTGTTGGTCGACATCTGCCCTCTCACTCTCGGCATAGAAACAACTGGTGGGGTTATGACCAAATTGATTCCTCGTAATACGGTGATACCCACAAAGAAATCGCAAATTTTCTCCACCGCCGCCGATAATCAACCTACCGTATTAATTCAAGTATATGAAGGCGAAAGATCGATGACCAAGGATAACAATCTACTTGGAAA